TCACTGAAGGGGGAGGGGTCCCGCTCAGCAGGGCGTCCTGACTCCCTGGTTGCCCTGGCTGAGCTGAGCTGAGCTGAGCTTCCTCCTGGATCACACCCTGGAACGGGGGGAGGGGGGGGGAGGCAGGTTGAGGGAAGAAGCCCAATGGAACAAAGGGCGATTTTCCAGGTGTGGGGGGGGGAGACCAGCTGCTCCCTACATTTCTCCCCATTGCTTCAGGCTGAGGGAGGCTTGGGTGCCACCACATCTGTAGGGCTGCTCTTTGAATCCCCCCCCTCCACAGTAGGTGAAGGCATTCACCCCAACCCTCCTGTTGGCCAGTCGGTGCCTCCTTGCCCCTTGGCAGGTCACCTAACAACCACCACCACCACCTTTGAGCAGCAGAGCTGGAAAGGGACCCTCTGGATCATCCAGTCCATCTCTTGTCAAGGAGGCTCGGGGGGGGGGGAATCGAACTCCCAACCTCTGGCTCCCAGCTGGAGGCCTAAGCCACTGCACTATTATCCAGCTGTTCTGGGTAACTGAGGAGCCCACGCGGGGAGGGGGGGTTCAGGGAGAGTGGAGTCGGCCTGTGCCTGGTCAGCTAGCAAGAAGAGGGGTGGGCTGAGTATTTGGTGTTTGTTTGGCTCCTGGGTGGGTTTTGGAGGCCTTTGGAGGCTTCCTGGAGGAGGACGGGGCAGGGGGAGAAGGATTCCAGGGGACTCAGCAGCGCAGCTGCTGCCCTGGGGTCACTGCCTCCCCCTGACCCTTCAATCCTGTCCGCTCTTTCTCCCAGTTTCCAGTTCAAAGGTCCTGACATCCCAAGGGGGAAAGGGGCATCAACCAACTCCCATAAAGGCCTGCCCCTATTTCCTGCCCCCTGGGCACGGTCCCTGCAAGGCAGGCCTCCCCCCATCCGTCCCCCCCCCATTCATATGTGGGAAGCCGATGCAGACCCAGCAAGAGTGAGTGGGAACCTTCCACATGCAGGCGCACGCACACAGAGAGAGAGAGAGAGAGAGAGAGAAAGGGCGCCTGCCCTCTCTGCCTGGGGGAGGGCAGGCCAGGAAGGCCGGCAGCAGGATGGAACTGGGGCCCTTTTGTCTTGGGTCCTTCCCTGGGAGGGAGGGAGGGAAGGCGCAAGGAGGCCAGCCTGGAGAGGGAGAGCGGAGTGGCCAGCAAGCCAGGCAGCCAAGAGTTGGCCTGGGGAGGAGGGCTGGACAGGAGAGCCAGCGGCCCAAGGCTGCTGGGGGAAGGGCGCGCCTGCCTGGGGCCAGCCCGAGGGAGGGAGGGAGGGAGGCGCAGGCGTACCCTGTTTTTGTGGCTGAACCGCTCTTGGGAGCACCTTTGGGAACGCCCAGCCTGGCCTGGCCAGCCCAGCGGGTCCTCGGGAGGCTGGTGGGCAGAGGGAACAGCTGAGGCCCTTGGGGAAGGGAGGGGACGGCGGGGGGTGTGCGTGTGCCCCTTGCTGGGACTCTTCTCCTGCCATCTTCAAGCGCTGCAAGGGCTCCACATGGCCAGGGCCCCCCAGAGAGGAGACGGGGGCTGCCAAGCACCTGCCTCTCTCTCTCTCCTCCCTGCTTGGCATGGCACTGCCGGGCGATGTGCCAGGCCTGGAAGGGCCAGCTGGTGGTCTACTCCCCCACTGAGCCCCATGCATGTGCCCTGGGTGTGGGTGGGTGTGCTTGTTGGCCCCCCACCACACAAGCCAAGCTGTTCCCAATCGCTCAGCGTTGGCCCAGCGGAGCGGGGGGGGCACATCAAGGAAGCAGCATCCGTTTACCCAAGGAGAGCTGCCAGCTGGAAGGGCTGACCACAGAGCT